AAAAAAAAAAAATTTCTGACATCTGGAATGAGCACAACGTGGAAAGGTTTTTTTTGACTTTTTTTTTTTTTTTGGTATCAGGGATCAAACACGGGGCATTGTGCTTTCGAGGCAGGCAGCAGCACCACTGAGCTAAATCCCCGGCCCCTTTTGACCACAGTTTTGAGGTTTAGGAGACCTAGCTGGTCAGCACCCAAGGCTCACGTTACTCGCTGTCCTTGACAGTCTGTGTACTAAAAACCTGCTCTTTGGAGTTCAGTGGTCTCCTCTCAATTTTCATTTTACATTAGTTCATCACTTACTAGGAAACCATTTTGGATCAAGTTATATTTTAGAAAACCCATGAAAATAGATGGCAAGAGAAAGTTGGTAAAATTAAAGCAGAGTTGAAGGTCTTCTTCCATACTTGTGCCTCAGGGACAGATCTTGAGACTGATAGGAAAGTCACCTCTTTCTCCTTCAGGAGCGCCCTCAGCCCTGTTAAACCAAAGGGGATTGAGGGCAGTTTGAGGTGCAGCATCTCTTGGGTGCTCACTTGAAGTTCCTCAGAGCCAATGCAGGGCCTCCCAGGGGATAGCTTGGCTAGGGACCCCTTGTGCAGCAATGCTGAGGTTCTGTTGGAGGTACAGGAGAGGGGCTCCACAATGCCACAGTGTCGTGCTGTGTTGGTTTGAAATCTGTTATATGAATTAGCTGTTAAGGCAGCTGGACACAGTTTCCTCATTAATCCATGTAAACTTGAAGGTTATTACCCAATCTTAAGAAAAAGCCATGCCATTAGGGATTCCAGATAGAACTGGACCTAAATTATACTAACTTGGGGAAAACAAAAATAGTTTGATTTATGTAGGGCCCAATTTCTCTATTTCTAAATTTGTTATGTGTTTAAAATTTTTTGCTGTGTTGTGAGATTTTAGCCTTGTTTTCGTTCTTTAATACTTACTGCTGTGATACAGAAACTTTCGTACTTATTTTTTCTCCTAATACTAGTGATTGAATGCAGGGCCTTTACACTGAGCTACTCTCCAGACCTTTATTTTTTTATTTTGAAGCGGGGTCACCCTAAGTCACTAAGTTGCACACGTTTGGCTCAAACTTGGAATCTGCCTGCCTCAGCCTCAGAGTGCTGGGATTACATATGTGTGCCACCACATCCACCAAAACCTTTTGACGTTTTATCTTTTTTGTATCTAGACACCATACTAGATTATTTTATCCTAAAATTTCCTTTTTTTTCCTTTTTTTGAGACAATGTTATTGTTGCTCTGGCTGGCCTCCCAACTCCTGAGCCCAAGTGGTCCTCTTTCATCCTCCTCCCAAACAGCTGGGGAGATGCCTGGATGAGTTTTTTGTTTGTTTTGAGGTGGTTTGTTTTTTTTTTTTCATTACTGGAGTTGAATTGAGAGCCTCTGGACTGAGCTGCATCCCAGTTTTGTCTCACTAAGTTGCCAGGCTGAACTCAAACTTGTGACCCTTCTGCCTCAGCCTTGGAGGGTGCTGGCTAGAATTCTTTTTTATTATTTTTAAAGAACTTACTAGTTTTTCCTAGACATTGTCATTTTTAGGAGCCCTTATTTTCAGGTATGCATATTGAAACATGAGTGAAATGTATCCCATTCTTTGCTTCTCAGTAGCTCAAGGGTAGGAGGAGGAAGTGCTTGTGTACACAAACTGCTACTGGCCTTGAGTTGCTGACTGTTGGAGCTGGATAGTATTTTGTTGTGATGATTATGATGCCTAATTACTAATTATAATTTAAATAGGTTTAGCATTCCAATTGTATTTAAGCGGCTTATTTAGTGTTGGTTGCTGAAATTTATTGTGTACCTCATCAACATCTACTTACACATTTCTCTTTTTTTTTTTTTTTGGTACAGGGGATTGAACTCTGGTCCTCGTGCTTACAGGGCATGCGGCAGAACCACTAAGCTAAATCCCCGGCCCTTTTCTTTTAATTTGTTGTTGTAATGATTTATATTGACAGATCTTTATAGTAAGTTTCTGGTTACTAGCAAATATTTTATTAGAATTTTTACCTTTGTATTAATGAGTGAAATTGACTTACTGGCCCTTCATTCCTTACTGAGGAGGGGTTTTTTTTTGTTTTTTTTTTTCCTTCCTCCCTTTTCCATCTGGATTTGTTATTGAATCTGTACTGTCTTCATGAAATAAACTGAGGTACTGCCTTCTTTGTTTATAGTGGCTTAAAATAGTTAAATGACCGTTTTGTCATCTGTTCAGGGTCACATGGAATCTAGTTCTAATTCCTTCTGGTCTTGGTCCATTTTCATTGCTAGGTATAATCAGCTTTTTGGTGAGTTCTGGCCAGTTTTTTGTTCCATTTTGGTAGCTTACAGTGCCTAGGACAGCGTCCATTTCTTCCACTTTTTTTTTGTACTGGGGATCGAACTGGGGTCCATTGCGCTTGCGGGGGTCAGGCAGCAGGCGGAGGAACTACTGAGCTAAATCCCCAGCCCTCTTCCACATTTTTGATTTCATCATCTGGCTGTGTTTACTCTCCCACATCTGTGATTATGCCTTGTGTGCTGTGTTTGCTTTCTTTTCCTTAATTGGGCTTGTGAGGAATTTGTTTCAGAGAATCAGCTCTTGAATTTATTTACCCTTGTATTTTTTCTCATCATTTCAGTTTTTCTTTTTATTAATTTCTTCTTCATGTTTTCTTTTGACTTATTCTCTTTATTTCAGGATAGTATTTTACGGTGTCCCATAAATTTTGCTCCTATGTCCATTGCTTTCTAGAGAGGCTTATAGTTTTGCTTTTGAATCCTTCTTTACCTTTACCTTTCTGGTAAAAACATACTGTGGTTTGACATTATCAACTATAAAAGTATTTAAAATTGATTTTTTTAATAGTATAGGAGATTGAACCCAGGGCCTCAAGTGTGCTAGGCAAGTGCTTTACCACTGAGCTGCATCCTCAGCAGTTTGTAAGTTTTCACTGTAAGATAAAGTCTCACTAAATTGTGCAGGCTGGCCTTAAACTTGTGATCTTCCTGCCTTAGCCTCCTGAGTAGCTAGCATTAAAAGTATGTGTCACTATGCCTAGCTAGACTTTTTTTTTAAATGGTAGTTACACAATTAAAAAAAATTTTTTTAGCTAGACATGCTGACACTCACCTGCATCCCCAGCTACATGGGAAGCTACAGTAGTAGAAGTGATCAGTGGATCACTTGAGCTCAAGTTCAGGAACAACCTGAGTAACATACCATGACCCCATCTAAAAAATGCCAACCATGAAGCCTGGCATGGTGGTACATTTCTAATCCCAGCACACCGGAGGCTGAGGCAGAGGGTGGCTAAGAGTTTGAGGCCAGCACAGGTACATAGTGAGTTCAAGGGAACCCTGAACTACATGGAAAGACCCTGCCTCAAAAAACGGAAACAAACAAAACTCCCCTCCAGCAGTGAGGCCCTTGACTCAGTCTTCTGCACTAAATTTTTAAAAAAAATTTTCTTTATTCTATTGAGACGTGGTTCTCTACATCTGTGAAGTCAGATTTACTGGCTGTACCGCTCAGTCCTGCTTGTGCCCTTGTTCATATTGTATTTACTGAGTCTGTACCATTCTAGAAAGAGTTTAAGTTTCCTCCTTTGAATTATGTTAAGCTAATCTTGTATTTTTCCTTGTCTTTGCAGCTTATGTTTATGTCCAATAACTATTTGAATATACACAGGGTTATAAGTGTTATATCTTGGCTGTAAATTATTCCTTCATTATCACTTAATGTTGTAGTTATTTTGTTTGATTCGTTTTGCTTTTCTTTTTGGTACTTGGGGATTGAACTGGGGACCTTGGACTTGGGAGGCAGGCGACGACTAAATCCCCCACCCCCTGGTTCCTTTTTGTTTAAATCCCATTTGGATGATAATAATAATGTTGCCTTCTTTGCACTGATCTGGTTGATATCTCTTAGCCTGTCCCTTTGTTCAGCCTTTCTTTGATAACTTTCTTTAAAGAGTATTTCTTCCACATAGCATATAGTTGGGGTGATCTGTTTGTTTTAACCCAGTGCACCTCCTCTTATTTTATTCCTGGGGATAGATCCCAAGGGCTCATGCATGCTAGGCAAATACAGTACTGCACCACTTAGTTACAGACTATCTCTGTTAAGGAGTGAATTTATTTCTTGCATGTATACTGATGACTGATATTCTAGAATTTCATCCCTTAAGGGTTGATTTAGGATTGCTATTGATTTTGTTTTCTCTTAGTGCTTTTCTTAAATTTTGCTGTTTGATTAAGTTGCTGTTTGTTACAAATTTTTCTCAATTTGGAGGTTTTGCTGTAATGTTTCTTTAATGGTTACCTTTTCTTTCATAAGCATATCTTTATCTCTTTATCATTATTTTATTTAACTTCTGCCAAAACTGCCCATAGTCCATCTGATCTTTTACCTCTTCCTTTAGAAAGTTTTACTTCTTAGAAGGCTGTGATACCACACACCTTTAATCTGGGCTGCTCAGGAGGATTGCAGGTTCAAGGCCAGCCTGGGCTGTTTAGGGAAACCCTATCTCAAAATTTATAGAAGGAGCTGAGGATGTACCACAGCAGTGGAGTACTTGGCTAGCATGCATGAGGCCCTGGGTTCAATCCCCATTATTGAGAAAAAAATGTTTTGCTTTTGTGATCTGTCTCCGGCCCCCAACTGTTAGATTTTATTAACTGAGGTAGTTTAATTTTTTTTTTTTTTTTTTGGTACCGGGGATCAAACTCTGGTCTTTGCTCTTGCGCAGCAGGCGGCAAAACCACTGAGCTAAATCCCTGGCCCTAGTTTAATATTTTTAATTCAAGTCTATTAATGCAATTTTTCTAGGATGTCCTTTCTATTCATGAGACCTTAATTCACTCTAATACACAATCCCAGATAGTTCATTAATGTGTAGACTCGGTTCTTTATTTTTCTCAGGAAAATTTTATTCTTATTTTCCTCCATCTATCCCTTTTTCTCCTGTGGGAACTGTTGATGTGAACTGCTGATGTTAACTTTAAGTAGGCTTCCTATATTTTCAAGATTAGAGCTTACAGTGGATCACTAAAGGAGAAACAAAACTATAATCTAGGTTTTCTATGAGATGTAATATTGTAGAGTTAAGAGCTTATGAATCCAACTGCCACTCTCTTACTTTGGCTAACCAGGTCAAATACATTGGAGCGTGAAGACCTCATTTCTCCCAAGATGTTTGGGAACATTTCCATTCCAAAGGGGATCAGGGGTTGCGCAATGTTCAGGAATGATAAGGTTTGCAAAAAATGGAAAACAAAGTGAAATAAACTTTTCACTAAGTTTCTACTCTCCAGAGGGAATCAAATTTGACTGCAGTCACAGCTCTTGATCTTGTCACTGAAGTTTAGCCAACAAACTTCATGTTTCTGGAAGTTTTTAATTGTTCTATTTGCATAAAAAATAAAACTGTTGTCACACTTCTCAAACACTCAGGTCTCATCAGTCCTTCAGCTTGTAAATGTAGTTCACATTGTGCCCTGCGCCCCGGTGTCAGGTCTTAGGGTGATCCAGAGACCTCCAGCAGATACCGGCTGTGTTCAGACCATAGTGCTCTATTAGGGGCATCCCTGCCTCTTTGAAAGGTTTCTGAAGAGTGAAGAGGGGATTTAGCTCAGTGGCACCACACCTGCCTTGCAAGCACAAGGTCATGAGGTCTGTCCCCAGTACAAAAAAAAAAATGAAGAGAAATTATCTACTTTCAGAGGCTGGGAGTTTGTCTTTTTCTCTTGTTGCATCCCTAGCGCTTAGCATATAATTACTACTGGAAAAAATGTAAATATTGAATACACACAATATGTATTAGTGCATATATGTATATACAGTTGCTTTCATCAACTTCCAGATTTTAACCCTAATTTATCTTGATGATGAGAAGAGGTTGTTTCATCATTTCCTGGGAGTATTTGAGAAGCTAAATGGGACAGGCATCAGCTGATGCCCTAGGTATGAGTCTTTGCAGGCTGTTCATGCTGTAAAATGTGTATGTGATGTGTATACAAACATTGGGGTTTTTTGCTTTAACAGATAGAGAAAACAATACGGAAGATGTCTAAGGTAAGATCACACTTCATCATTTATCTATAGTATAAAGAGAAACTGCTGTATGTTTTCAGACTTGTTTTGTTTTGTTTTTGAGTCAGAGTCTCACTATGCAGTTCAGGCTGGCCTTGAGCTCACGATGTAGTCTAGGCTGGCCTTGAACTCGTGGTAATCCTCCTGGCTCTGCCTCCTGAGTGCTGGGGTTGCAGGTGTGCACCATCATGCCCGGTGATTGTTCAGACTGTTTATAATCAGGATTTATGCATTTGATTCACTCAGAGTTCTGATTTAATTGTCATTCTAAAAGTTTTGAGCTCTCTTTTCAGATTCTTTTTTCTTTTTTTTCTGAATATGTCAGTAATAATCCAGTTAGCCTTCTTTGGTCATTCCCAGCAGACCAGTCACATAATTTAAAATTCTAATAATTAATCATGATGAAATTGATGGAGCTTCTTAAACTTGATAAATTGGTTTAGGTTGCCCTTATAAATTGGCCCAGAGCCCTGAGATAAATTGCTTCTTAAAGCACATATGCTGAGAAAAGTGGAACTAGTGATTAAAAGTGAGAGGTTACTTCTTGTTGCCTTTATTTTTGAGCCTGTGGGAAAAAAATCATTATACCAGTTTTTACTTTTTACAAGTGTTAGTGTAGAACACAGATAAGCACAAAAGAAAATTAGCCTTTATCCACCACCCCAAAACAGTTAACATTTTGTATATATTTTTCCTATTTTTTTAAGAGAAGGTCTTGCTAAATTGCCCAGCCAGAGAGGTTTTATTTGAGACTCTCCTGCCTCAGGCTCTTAAGAGTTCTGGGATTATAGGCATGCACCACCAAGCCTGGCTCTCTTTTTACCTTATGTGTATATGTACTTTTGCAAAATGTAATCCTAGCCAGGTGTGGTGGCACATGCCTATAATCCCAGCACTGGAGAGGCTGAGCAAAGCAGAATTTTCACGAGTTTTGAGGACACATGAATTTGGGCTACATAGTTCAAGGCCAGCCTGAACTGCATAGCAAGACCCTGTATCAAAAAACAAACAAAAACAATGTAATCTTAAAAGAGATACCATGCTATATTTTGCCTTTTTCAATTAATTGATACATTAAAATGTTTTTTATTTTCATTGTGTCCTACCTAGATTCTAGTTTTATTTTTTTATTCTTGATTTATCATCTATCTCTTATCAGACATACTTCCATCAGGAAACATCAGTGCTTCAGAGTTATCTGCCATGATCTTCCTTGATCTTTGACAGTAGATACTCAACATCCCACTCCTAAATCACTGGAGTTATTTTGGTGGTGCTCTGTCCCATAAAGCTAGGAGAGTAGCAAGAAAAATACCTTTTCCTGGACACAACCCTTGTACCAGGGATTGAACTCAGGACCTTGTGCTTGCCAGGCAGGTGTGGTGCCACTGAGCTAAATCTCCAGCCCTCATGGATACTTTTTGTAAGTGCACAATACCTGATACCTGGTCAGACTTCTTTGGCCAAGTTTGTTGAATAAATCCACTTGTCATTTTGGTACTAATTGTGAGCTTGATTTTTCCTGTGACTGTGTTTATCTTGTCAGAATTTGAAATTTCACGAAGATGAATTAAACTTGTGTTTTGTTTGTATTGCCAAATTGCTAAGCAGAATATTGATTAAATGTTAATTTTAGGCCAGTATATAGCTAAAGAATTACACTAGATTGATTTTTCTTCTTTTAATGCTACTAAGTGAATACTACCCATGTTGACTAATGTGTAATTTTTTTTAATTTGTAAGAACTGATTACCTATGTTTGTCACAAGCAACAAATATGGTATTTATTAGCTTTTTTTCTTTTTTTTTAATCTTTTAGCAACAACCAGCTCAGTTTATAAATCCAGAAACTCCTGGCTATGTTGGATTTGCAAACCTTCCCAATCAAGTTCACCGAAAATCAGTGAAAAAAGGTTTTGAATTCACGCTGATGGTGGTTGGTAAGAAATGGATTTACAGGGGCCGGGGATTTAGGTTAGTGATACCACGCCTGAGTTTGATCGCTGGTACCAAAAAAAAAAAAAAAAAAAAGAAATGGATTTATAGGCTGTCTCCTTTTTTGACTTCCAGATATAGTAGTGTGATCTGTATTGTAATAGTGAAAATTCTTTGTTGTCAAAACCAAATACCTTGGGAATTTGAATATATATTATGTATGTGTGTAAAACTATACACACACATATTTGTTACAGGTATTCAAAAATACATATGTTAGACGTTTTTGCCCAACAGTAAGATTATGTACCCCCAGCCCCCTTGCTAGGCATTGAACTTAAGGCCTTCACACTGAGCCTTATCCCCACCCTTTACATTTTGTTTTTTTTGAGATAGGCTCTCAGTTACCCAGGCTGGGCTTGAGCTTTCAACCCTCCTGCCTAAGCCTGCCAGAGTGCTAGGATTACAGATGTGCACCACCATGCCTGTTGTCCTTTTTTTGGTTGTTTCCTTGTTTCTACATGCTGTGTAAGTTTCATGGAGGGATACAGAAGAAACATCTGTCTCCAAAGTGAGAGGGGTGAGCAGTCCAGGGACGAGCTTGGGCAAGTCCTGCTTGGCAAATAGCTGAGTTTATTGGGGTTTACATATAGCACAGCGGTCAACTTGGCCCATAGCACCACCAGAGTCACCCCCTGGTTTAGGGTGTTAGTGTCATAGGCCACTAATTAAAACAGCAAAAGTGAGAAAGGCCCCAGGAAGAGTGGTGTGTGCTTCGTTCCTCTCTTCATCATGAAATTGTGTCGGTCTTAGTAAGCACTGCCCAGCTACGCTGATGGCTGACCTTGCTAGGTTGGAGTTTGGCACAAAGCCTCAGCACCTGGTGGGGGAGCCTGGGAGAGCCACTGATCAGCTAGATGGGAGAGGGGTACTTCAAGATGGAGACCCCTAGGTGGGTAGGACAGTTTTTCACTACCATAGGTAATGAATGCTGCACTCATTGTGACAGCTGGCGTCCACAGTGGCCTCCAAGCATACTTCCCTCCTGGGCTCACAACCACCTCCACCCTGAATAGGGTCTACTAGTGTACTAGGACATTGCAGAGTGAAGGTGTGTTGCTTCCAGGAGTGGGTCCCAAATGACACAGTGTGTAGCGTCCACCTGCCTTGCGTCACTCACTGGGGGAGGCCTGCTTCCCTTGGAGAGAACCTTGTACAGCCTGAGGAGACTACCCCACAAAGGTCCTCCAGCCCCAAATGGGCTTCCGAGGCTTGATTGCTGTTTATAGACACCCCAAGCCAGAGCCACCCCCTTAGCCGCACTCAGATTTCTCACCCCAAAAGCCTGTGAGTTATTGTTTGTGGTGGTTATAGCCTTCAAGTTTTGTAGTAACTGTCAGATATTAGCAGATACTGATAGTACTCATTGATTAGAATTGTAGTTCTCATTTAAAAAGTTACTAACTGGGTCGGGGATTTAGCTCAGTGGCACTGTGCCTACCTCACAAGTGCAAAGAAAGTCCTGAGTTCAATCCCGGTACCAAAAAAAATTTTTAAAGTTTATTAAAAAATGAGAAAGTTACTAACTCCTAAAATGACAATAATGGATATATTTGAAACAAATAACAGTCCTTACTGTATAATTTTGTTAAAACTTCTTGAAGTTGGACTATAGTGTATAATGTGTTTCAGCATGTCCCTAGAGCTTAATGATGAACTATTTAGTTAATTCTTAGTAACTGCAAAATTCTCAAAAGAGGGTCAGCATTGTAGGAGGGTTATGATGTTCATGAATGAGGACAAATGATTGCTTCTTAGGGTTAGTCATTCACAGACCTGAAATGAAGGAAATTGTGGAGTCTTTGGTGCAGAAAGGTAGCTGTCAACATGTATTAAGGAACACAGTAACAGGGTAGTAGTAATAATACAAATTTAAGTTACTGGTAGAAAAGAGAATTCCAATGTAGTCTGTAATTTAGTTTTATAATACTCAAAAATAGCATGACATCTATCTCTGGCCATAAAAGCTCTTTCTATACCAGGTGGGATAGTAAATACCCTAGATTTGTGATCCCATACAGTTTGGGGCACAATTGTTCAATTCTACTTTAACAGTGGGAAGGCAGTTACAGACAGCATGTACACAAAGAGGCATAGCCCTGTTGTATGTAGTAAAGCTTTATTTACAAGAACAGGTAGTGGACGGGATTTGAACTGAATTCCATAGTTGCTAGCCCTGGAAATAACCAGACTGGCTGTCCTACCATGAGTAAGGAGAAAATATATGAACCAGCTTTTTGACGACAGTGGACATTGGGTAACACAGAAGCTTGACCCATAAGAAGGGAGGTAATGGTGCAACTTGAGTGACTGCAGCTTTCTGCCCTTTACCTGTCTGTGCTGCAGGCAAGGGTGGGAATAAATCAAGGACACGACAGTCTCATAGAGCCCAAGAGACCTCATAATTCAGGGAAGCTGAGGTGACTGAAACCTGATGTAGCAGGACACAGTACAAAAAGAAAAGGAACTCCAGAAATATGCACTGGGGATCCCTTGGAGGTATGTGTTGAGCACTGACTTGCACTCGAGCCAGGTAAGATTACTTGAATCTGGGTAAGATACAGCTACTAGGAGGCTGAGCTGACTTGGAGACTGAGCCAGGCTGGAAAGCTCACATGCAGTCAGGAGAGACTGAGTTCCAGTTAGATGAAGGGGAGAAAACCCTACTGAACATCCAGGGTGCTCAGGGGAGACGGTACAGAGTTCTTGCCTTGGCATTGGCCCAAATTCAATGCAAAAGCTAACAGAACTTAGAAACAAGCCCTGGAAGGATCAGGGTTTTTCACAAGCTAACAGCTTGCAAGACAGAAACCATCACTTGCTGAACACATCAAAATCCAGGCATTTACAGGGCTGGGACATGGTTCAGTGACACAGCATTTGCGCAGCACATGTAAGGCCTTAGGTTATATCTCAGGTCCACATGCACATGCACACACACACACACATCTCAAAAAACAAAACTCCAGGCATTGCAGAAGGGCATTCACAATATCTTAACATCCAACACAAATTTGTGTGTATCAAAGGAGGAATATCATGTACTATATAATTAGGAGAGAAATCCCGCAATAAAAATACCCATAGATGACAAAGAACTGTTTTGATATGACTTCTCACTATGTTCCTTAGCCTGGCCTTAAACTCAAAATCCTCCTGCCTCAGCCTCCCTATACTTGGGATTACGAGCCTGCACTGTCATGGCCAGCTTTAAGAACTCTGTCTTAAATATGCTTCTGTACTTAAAGAAAAACATGAACATAATGAGATAAATAGGAGATACAAAATAGAACTAAATGAAACTTTAAGATATTATAATACCAAAATTTGAAATGAAAAAATTTCAGGATAAATGTAATAGCAAATTGTATACGATAGAGGAAAGAGTAATAGTAAGGTATTTAAACTAAAGCACAGGAAAGAAAATGCTGAAAGAAAGGAAAGACATTGCACATAGCCTCAGTAGCCTGTGATATGCAATAAGCAATCTGATACACAGATTTTTTTGGGGGGGGGGCTACTGAGGATCGAACTTGGGACCTTGTGCTTGTGAGGCAGGCAGTGGAACCACTGAGCTAAATTCCCGGCCCCTCTAATATACAGATTTAACTAGAGTCAGAGAAGAAAGGGTAGAAAAAAGTTGAAAAAATAATGCCTGAAAATTTTCCGTATTTGATGAAAATTATAAATGCACAGGTTTCCCCAGATCCAAGTGAGTAAACACGCAGCAGGTGAGTGAATACAAAGGAAACTATACCAAAGCACATTATAACAGTTTGAAAAAAACTAGTGGTAAAACATCAAGCAGAATAAAATCTTACAAGTAGCCAGAAAAAAGAAAAGATTATATAGTGACAATTGAAGGTGAAAATAGCTAGGCATGATGGCACACACCTGGGAATCTGATGCAGAAGGATTAAAAGTTTGAGCACAGTCTGGGAAATTTAGGGACTTAGACCCTGTCTCAAAATAAAAATTAAAAGGGTTGGGGATTTAACTCAGTGCAAAGCCCCTGGGCTCAGACCCCCAGGAGCACACATACACACAAAAAGAATGGCTACTAACTCACCAAGACTAGTGCAGCACATGAGGGAATGACATTTTAAAGTACTGAAACAAGGCCATCAGCCTAGAAATGTGTGTGCATCACAAGTGTCCTTTAAAAATGAAGCCAGAAGCGCAAGGACCGGAGTTCGATCCCTGGTACCAAAAAAAAATGAAGCCAGTTGTAGTACATTTTGTAATCACAGCACTCAGGAGGCTGTGGTAGGAGGATCTCGAGTTGAAACCTAGCCTGGACAACTTAGTGAGACCCTGTTTCAAAAAAGGAGGCTGGAGATGTAGCTCAGTGTAGAGGCCCTGAGTTCAATCTCCAGTACAGAAAAAAAAAAAGACATTTTCAGATAAATAAGCTGAGAGGACTTATCACCATCAGTTCTGCACTACTAGAAAGTTCAGATGAAATTCTTCGGGTTGAAAGAAAAATATGGAAACTCGATCTACATTAAGGAATGAAGAGCATTAGAAATGGCAAATATGCAAATAGGAAAGACTTTTCTTGCTTTTTAATTTCTTGCAAAGATAAAACAAAAATAATTGCTAACATGTAGAAATAAAATTGAGGCTAGCAATAAAAACAAGAAAAGATGGGGCCGGGGATTTAGCTCAGTGGTTTTGCTGCCTACTGTGCAAGCACAAGGACCCAAGTTTAATCCCTGATAGCAAAAAAAAAAAAAACAGGTGGAAGGAAGCATGATTTTGTAAGCTTTTGGTGTCTTTTATGTGAAGTGGTAGAATGTTATTTGAAGACTGCTGTGTTACTGTTACATGTATATTCCAGAGCAATTACCAGGGGAAGCCCAGATTTTACTAAAAGTAAATAGCATGGATAAACTAGAGTATTAAGAGTAGTTAATCCAGAAGAAAGCAGGAAAAGAAAGAATAG